CCACAGCCTGAGCAGTCCTCCCCCAGGAGCACAGAGAACAATGCCTGCAGCGACCTGTGCTACCAGTGGCAGATTAAAGGCTGATCCTGAAGGCTTGCAGTGGGTCAGAGTTTATAAACACAAAGGGGCTTTAATGCAGCCAGGCTTGGGAAGGATCAGTGCCCCCATGGGCAGTGCACGGGGTGGTGTCCTGGGCAGAAGGGACATGGGTGCTGCACGGGTGTGTCCTTGGATAGAGAAACCAGGGCTGTGCTGGTGGAAGTAGGGCTGTGGTGGTACAGCCCTCCTGTAGAAAGGCTCCTCATGGGGCTTGGCAGAAGGATGCTCAGGTTGTCCACCCCGCTGCCCATAGCCCAAGTCTGTGCTATGCCTGCCACAGACTGGCCTGGGGAGCTGGATCTGAGCAGTGTGAGCACAGTGGCACTGCCCAGGTACTGTGATCACTTTGTTGTTCTCAAGGGACATGGTGTTAGGTTGTGTTTTGTAGGCTGGGACCTGGCTGCTGTAGCTGGTCCCTGCTTTGAGACCTGCATTCTGTACACCTCTGTATGCCCTGGTACCTCCTGGCTCACTGTGATTTGGGAGTAACACCCTGGTTTCCCACTTCTCTGCGCCATGAGCTCCACAGGTTTCCCCCTATCTGGGAATTATCTGCAGGTAGGGTTTTTTCCTCAGGCACAGCAAAATGGTCGTGCCTTGGCGTCTTCTGTAAATTGGCCCCATCCTACAGGGCTTTGACCCCAGCCTGGCCCAGGGCTTGGTTCCAGCGAGGAGAGGACGCTCTGGCAGGATCCCCGTGCCCCTTGTGGCTAAGTACAGGGCACCGTGTGCCCAGCTGAATAGAGAGCTGGATGTCTGAGCTAGATGCGAGCCCACTGTCCTGCCCGCTGCCCTGCCTGCCACAGACAACTTCTGCTGGAGTTCAGGGTGCAGAGAGGCAGGCAGCACTGATGGCCACATTGCTGCCAGGCAGCATTTATGCTGTGAACAGCACGTGTTTCAGTGTTGTTAGGTGCCCTGTGGCAGCTTCAGGCTGTGTACCCTCTAAAATTTGAGAAGCTAAGGAGGGAGGGGAAGACATGTAGGGCAGACCCTCTCGTCTCCTCCTCCTTATTGCCTGGCTCTGCTGAGGAATGGCTCTTGCTCTTTGCAAATGATCCTGAGTCCCTCAAGTGCATGGTCCATCCCTATATCCCTATAGTGAGGTCTCCAGGGAGCAGCCTGCAGCTGGGATTTCCCGCTGGGATTGGCAGGGGCCTGTGGTTGTGCTGGCTCCTCGCTTTGCCAAAAGCTGCTCCTACCCTTCCTCCTGGGCTGCGGGACATGCTGAGCAGCACGCTAGTAATGGCAGCGTCTGCCTGAACTCGGCAGGAAAGTGTTGTTGGATGGTGTTGGATGTCAAGGAGGGAAGGGAGCTGACGCTTGTGGGAGCGCCAGTATCCCAAAATGGGAGGGCCGAGAGGGAGTGAACAAGAGGGAGGAGAAAGCACAAAGGAGGGAGCGGGTGGAAGAGGGAAACGCGGCTGGATTACAGGCTGCTGGTGAAAGGGGGGTGGCATTTAGTGGTCAGGTGGACTGGAGGGGCTCTGCATGGCTGAGCACGGGCGCTTTCTCACCTGCAAGGGCAGGCAGCTCCTGTTGGTACTCTCCCACGTTTTCCTGCTGGAACCCCTTCAAGGAGTCCTCTTCATGCCTTTTATCTCTGTGTGCTTATCACAGCAGCAAGGTTGTTTCCCCCATGTTTTTGGGAGTGCTTTGCAGTCCTAGTCCTTGCTGGGGCTGTGGGTTCTCAGAGGCAGGGCAGGGCTTGCAAAGAGCTGCAGCACCCACTGCCAAGGTGCAGCCACCTCTGCTGTGGAGAGGAGTGGCAGCAGTACAGCAGAAAGGAGACCTGGCACCACGCGGGCTTCCGAGGGAGAAGGTGCGCTCCAGCGGGGAGCGTGGGAGGCAGGCTAAAATTATGCAAATCGACATTTGGGCAGGGCAGTGGGTTAATGTTCACGGCAAAGGGCTGTGAGATTGTGAATGCCCCCACGTGGAAGGGACCGCAGCATGGCAGGGCTGCTTTGAGCTCTGCTGAGGCCAGGGCGGGTGCTGGGAGCCCGACCAAGCTCCCAGGCTGGGCTCCGTCCATGCCCCCACGCAGAGCACAGCGCGTGTGCTGAGGGGGCCCAAGCCTCCACAGCTTGGGAGGTGCCTCCCCAAGAAGGGGGTCTGGATGTGCCACAGCTGTGCCCAGATCCACAGAGAGGAAGATGCACTCTGGTGCCTTCAGTGTGTGAATAAGTGTTTGTGGGTCCTCTTGTCCCTGATGCCAGGAGACCACTGGGGGAAGTCTGCAGTGCTGGGATGGGTCAGAGTGGCTCCTGGGTGCAGTGGCAGCCTTTGGGGTATTCAAAGCTGCTGAGCTGGTGAGAGGCTGCAAGGAGGGTCTGGAGCCCCGCTGGCTGTGGGAGCAGATGGGCGCGGGGTGGTTGTGAGAGCCTGGGGTGGGTGGCATGATGCTGACACAGCAGGGCAGGTGCCAGCATGGTGCTGTTGCAATCTACAATACGGTGTTTCTGTCCAGGCAGAGTCCCTGGAGGTGAGGAGAAAGTGGGGTGCCAGGGCAGGCTGTGCTGGTTGAGGCATGTGCAGCGAGCTGAGGCACCACATGTCAACCCCGGGCAGTACTCACCCCAATGCGAGTGCCTCTTGGGGGGCGGCTCCCCACACTGGTAAGCACTGTTGTGATGCTGCAGGAAGCTGCAAACTTGGGTCTCATGTGCGAGCCATGGCTACCTCGTGCAGATAGTGCCAGATGGGACAGGAGAGCAGGGATGGCGTGTTTCCAGAGGAGTGTGGATTTTGGTGCATAATCAGTGTTTGGGGAGCACGTGGCCTTTGTATGAGCAAGGTGTGGAGAATGATTCTCACCTTGCTGCAGCACAGCACATGCAGAGTAAGGCAGTGCCAGGCAAGCAGACATGGAGGGGGCACTGCAGCCTGTCCTGGGACACACGTTTCTGTCTGACAGAGGCAGGCATGGCTTGTTCAGCACTCTGCTTGTTGCCCCACTTTCTTATGCTTTTGGGAGTACCCTGTGTCTGGGCAAGTGAATCCAGAGCATCGCTCTGAAATATTAGAAGCACTGCAGAGATGAGTCACCCGCAATGCTGGAGGGAGCCTCGAGGGCTGTTCCCATCTCTGCAACTCCCTGCGCCCCTAAGCACCCTCCAGCCCTTCCCAGCCTGGTTTTGCCATCGCTATCTGCTCCCCGGGGTGGCAGCTGCACCAAAGACCTCCAGCAGCACTCATGCCTTGATCCTTGCTGAGACAGAGCAGGATCCTGCTGGGCTTGGGGCACCACATAGGACATCTGGGCCTGGGAAAGTGTACCTCCTCCTTTCTCACCCCTCTGCTGGAATCTGCTCCTATTAATAGCAAGTGGCCGTCGATAGCTGTTAGCAGCGGGAATGGGGAGCAGAGCAGTGTCTGCTGAGCCCCAGCCAGGATGGCAGGGATTTGGCCCCACCAAGGGACAGAGATCCTATAGGGGTAGGACTGCACCTGCTAAATGCTTCTCCATGTCCTTGCACCCTGGGGAGCTGATGGAAACATGTCTAGATGCTGCCCTGTGGTGCTGGGTGCATGCACCCCTTCATCCCAAGCCTGTCCCAGCCTGGCACCCTCTGCTCCTGCCCTCATGGACTGGAATGTGCCGACAGCCTGTCTGTAATGATAAGCATGCTGGTAAGGACAAATCAGGGGAGAAACCCATGTATTGCCTATCATGCCTGCCAGGGCAGGGGCATAATCCATATGGGCTATGGTCCTCTGTTTGGGGCAAATCCAAGCCCCACATCCCTTTGCCTGGAGCTGGTTGCATGAAGAAGGGCTGGTAACAGTCAAGGTGCTTGGTTGGGGACATGTGAGAAGAGGTTTTGGGGCAAATCTAAGGCCAGCTCCAGTGGTGTGCCAGAGGGTGCCCAGGGATTTGTTGGCAGCTCTGGAGGACAGTGATTGCGTGAGGGCCAATATGTGGAGAATGGTGGTACACTGAGGACCTGCCCCAGGAGGGATTTGCTCCCTCTAGATTTGCACATCCTGGACACACCCAGCAATGGGAGGCTCGGGGCACATCCTGCCCTGCTGTAGCCACTGTGAGCTCCATGGGTGACATGGGTCATGCAGAGGTCTTGGCATGGGTTCCCCCATCCTCCCTCCCACTTTTCCTAGATAAAGGATTTGTGCATGGTAGGACCTTTACACAGCTCTGCATGGGAATTTGGGTGGTTGGGTGAGTTGGAGCAAGGGGCTGCCGGGATGGGAGATGGATGCTCGGTCTGACACGTTTTCTTGTGGTGGTCTGCCCCATGGTAGCAGCACCCACTGATGAGGAAGACAAGGTTTTGTTGCTTGTTTTCTTCCTCTGCTTTGAGTCTCCAGGCTGCTTTCCCTGTCAGGAGGAGGGTGTCCGCACAGTGCAGTGCAGCTTGCTGCCCAAACTCCTCATGGTGTGGGAACTGCTCTTCCCCACACCCCCCTCCAGTACTTCAGCATCGCAGGAGTGCCAGCAGGACAGGCACGTTCCTGGCTGCTCTTGCTCATGGAGCCTGAGCAGGGAACGGCCTTGTTACATGCTTTGTCGCAGGGCAGGGGGAGGCTTGGCTGCTCAGCAGTAGCCACGAGAGCACTGGTACAGCTGCTCGGTGATGGAAGCCAGTATCTGATTTTTCCATTATAAGGATGATAACCAAACGTCAAGCCCTGGGGTTTTCCCTCCGGCGGGCAACTACAGGAGACCTGGCCCTGCTTAGAGACAGGGGTGCCCTTTGGGAACATTCCCCTCAGCGGGGCAGGGGGAGGAGTGGAAAAGTGAAGGCCAGGAGGGGGACCGAAGGCAGTGGGAGCCCAGAGACCTGCTGCTGAGGCTGGGAGTGCTCTCTGGCAGAGGTGTGTTTGCTGAAAACCTTTCCCTTCCATTCATGTGGCTTTTTCTCTTTTTATTTTTTTTCAAGGTCCTGGCCACAGTCACTGGAGCTATGAAGGTAAATACCCTGAAGTTACTCCTGCTTTTTTTTTCCTACCACCCAGCAGACCCTGGGCCTGAGCCAGCCATGGTTAATGATTACAGGGCTCCTGTGTGCACTCCACCACTCACCCTTCCCTCTTGACCCTGATGCTTCAGCAGTGCCCAAAACTGGGCACGGATGGGGTGAAGAGGTGGGGCTTGCTCTGATTTGAGCAGCTCTGCAAAGGTTTTCCTCTGGCTCCTGGGGTGTGGGGGGATGCCCTTCTGGCTAGGGGTCCTCCCTGAATGGGAGCCCCCCTGATTCTGTGCCAATTAAGGAAGCAGGCTGGGCTTTTCAGGCTGGACTTGCAGCCTGTGCTGGGACTTTGACCTTCCCAGGGATCAGCTTGGGTCCTCACGCCTATCTTCTGTCACCTTTCCTCCCCATCCTGCCTGGGCTTGCCCTCCCATCATGGCTTGGAGGACGTCTTCACAGCACCCATGATGGGCATTGCTGCAGTGCTAGCACAAACACAACCTTTCCTGCTGCAGTGGTGGGCCTGGTCCAGCACCACCATTCTGCTTGGAAGCAGGGGCTGGCTTGGACTGCCTCGCCCGAGTGGTGAGACAATACCTGCCAGAGGCCTGTGCAAGGCAGCAAGTGTGTGATGAGCTGCAGAGCAGCAGCTCCTGGGCTTGCCAAGTCCACTTGTAAATGATCTTCTTGCACTTTTCCCAAACACCCCAAAAATAGACTTTCCTGGCAGCTCACCATGCTCCGAGACCTTTCCTGATACAGCTGCGTGCAGTCACATGGTGGTGCAGAGCTGCTCCCAGGCTAACTTGATGGAAACTAACTGTACATGCATGACTTATTCCCTGGCCAGTGCCTGTCCGTTTCCCCATCACCTACCTAACCTCCTCCCTTCTGCTGGGCTCCTTACCTGGGCGGTCTCACTGGCACTCCCTCCCTTCCTCCTCATACCAGAACGGGAGCACTGGGGTGTGGACTACCCAGACTGCGCGGGCAATGGGCAGTCACCCATCAACATCGACACGGCCAAGACCACCTTCAGCCCCCAGCTGCGGCCGATCCAGCTCTCTGGCTACAGCCTGCCTGCCAATGAGAAGCTCAGGCTGAGGAACAATGGGCACACAGGTGGGTGCAAAGGCACAGGAAAGGCTGGAGCAGGAGCAGAGCCTGCTGCAGCCGCTCCTGGCACAACTGGGCTCTTCTGGTGCCCTTCCCCTGAGCTCTGGGAATGGGGTTCTCTTACAGGCTGCAGTCTTGTCCTTAAGGCCAAAAGGGAAAAACTGGGCTGTTGAGCCTTTACATGTCCATGTGTTTTCCTGGCTGGAGGGGAGAAACCGGGAGATGGAGAACTGGCTACTCGCTACCTTTGGGAGTTTGCTCCAGGGAATTTGCTAAAACCCACATTTCTTTTTAAAAGTGTGTCCCTGGTATTTCTGATGCAGGTTTGCAGCCATGTGTTCGTCCCCAGTATTTCACTTTCAAAGGAATAGTCAGTCTCTGATGTGACTTAGCCTTTAAGGTATCTATTTCTCAGTCTTTTAAGACACTACATTGGCTCGCTTCTGTAAGTCTGTGCTTCAGGATGCTATCTCAAGGTCTTGAGGAATTTTTCTGGATCTTTCGTTTCCCTTCCCAAGATTTAGAATGTTCTTTTGCAAGTCTGGACATAACTTACATCATTTTAGTAGCAGTCTCACCATGCCAGATACGGAGGAAAACACATCTCCTCCCTGCTCTCCACCTCACAGCTGGAGATGGTGGGTCCTGGTTGCTACCAGCTTTTTCTGGGAGCACGCAGTGTTTTGCACATACTGGTGTCTGCCAGTCCCTAGGCTAAGAAGAAGTCCCAGAGAAAGGGATTTAACCTCGCTGGCGGTGTGATAAGGCACCCCTGTGCCCTGGTAGCTAGCGAGACAGAGCTGACCTCTGTGTAGAGCAAACTCAACAGGTAGGACTTGCTGTGTGTGGTCAGATCAGCCGCCCAGTGCATGCACAGAGCTTGACATTGTGGCCTCCTGCCCTAGCGTGCCTGTGGAGCTGAACAAGTTGAGCTCAGTAGTTGCTATTTTAGACACCCTGGCATCTGGTATTGCTTGGTGTTTAGAAGAGCAGTCACAGCATTTTCATTGGGGTGGGGGAAGTAGTTTCTCACATGCTTATAAGATGCCTTTTCTTTATTCTGGCAACTACCGGTCTTCTTTGTGAAAAGCCATAAACAAATAAAAAAAGTTGCAAGTCCAGTAACATATTTGTACAGTTACTCCTTTTTGTAATACAAAGTGTATACATTGTATAAGGCCTGAAAATGACTCAGGTGGCTAGCAGAAGGAATGTAACGATTTAGATTATCTGTTTTCACATTTCTTTTGTATAAATTGCCAGGGAGGGGAGCAGTCTCCCACTTCCCGTATTTGAGTTTAGTATCTCTGAACCCAGTGGCAGAGAACACGGGAGAGGACAAATGACTCATCAGAGCCCTGATATGTGGATAATCTTGAATATGTGCCCCAGCACGGTGATGTGACTAAGGGGACGATTTACCTATGAAGGAGGAGGAAGGAAAAGAGCTGATATTAAAAATGAGGGAAAGGTTCTTAGAAGGGTACGTCAGTCTTTCTTGGGGCCCAGGGGTGCTCCCAATATTTTTTGCCACATGCTCAGGTAACGGCTTTTAGATTTTTCACCCGGCGGCATGAGTGCAGTATAGCTGACTAAGCCACATGGAACAACAAAACCAAGTGTGTATTTAACTGTACACGAAGAGGCAAAACTTCAGCTCTAAATGCTTTCAAAAGATGTAATGCTTCCACGCCAACAGCTCCAGTGCTGTCAAGTCACTTGCAGGCAAGGTCTCAGCTCGCCAAGTGCTGCAGCTCTCTCTGTCCAGCTGCTGTGCTTTCACTCTGCCAATATCTTTCTCCATGAATTTTGTCTATGGTCTCTTTATATTATTCTCACTTACTGAATAAGTTGTTGGATAACATTTGGCTTGGAGCTGGCCCCTAGGAGTCTCTACAGAGAGGCTCTTCACTTTCCAGCATTTTCATAGCAGCTATTTTTGAAGCTGATGTATTAACTGGGGTGTTCTACAGCCTTAAGTTGAAAGTTGAACTGTGGTGCATTAGCACAGCTCTGGGTATTAAATTGCCCATAGCCTGGAAAGAAGCTTGTTGATCATGACCAATCTCCACAAG